AGCGCGCACCGGCACGTGTCCACACCGTCCCGCACACGCGCGGTTGGCGGGAGGGACCCGGACCCCGACCCCGGCCCGGCCGCGCACCTCGAACTGCCAGTGGGCCGCCTGCAGCAGCTGCTTCGCCTGGTCGGCCGCACAGCCCGCCGTCAGCACGAACTGGTTGATCATGACCTGGTGCTTGAGCTCGTCCATGTTCACGGACATGGCGCCGCCGCCGCGCTGCCCGCTGCCTCCCGCCGCCGCGCTCCTCCGCCTCACGCGTCCACCATTAGCGAGCCGGCTCCGGCTAATACAAATATTTACTGTGCGGCTCTGACTCACCGAGCCTCGCCTGGCTCGGGGCCGCGGGGGCATGCTGGGAGATGTAGTCCCGCGCCGCGGCCGGCTGGGGGGCGCAGGGAGGTGTGTCCGGACGCTGCCCCTGCTGCGTGCGGAAGCGGGCGGGAGCGTTTGCAGGCCCTCACCGAGGCTCGTGGGGGTCCAGAAGGCGGAGGCCGCTGGCGTCTTTGCCCGGTGTGCCTGGCATCTCTCTGTTGAATGGGCGCACACTTGGAAAGGGGGCCCCTGGAAATTTTGGCATAAATCGTAAGCACTGGGACGCACAGCCCCGAATGCCTGGCACACAGTAGGCGCCAATAAATACTCCTTCACTGAATGAATGAATGTACCCCTTAGGGTTCTGCAGAGTCACCGCCTCCAGGAAGCCTTCCGGTCTCCCCAGCGCCCCGAGCACAAGCTCACATCGCCCACTCGTGATGCGGGTCCCTTCCCGGCCTGGTGCTCGGCCAGGCACACAGTAGACCCGAGGAACGTTTGGGGGTGGCATGGCGCCCGAACAAGCCGGCGAGGCGGGCAAGCTCTGGTGCCTCGGGGTCCCCTCCCCGCGGGGCTCCCACTTTCCCACGCAAAATCTCGTACGTTCTGCCGGAAATCTCAGCCTTCGGATGCGGGCGCCAGGACCTGGCGGAGCCAGTTCCGGGGCGGCCCCGAACTCCTATTCCCAGAATGCCCCGGTTTATTTGCATCGTTCTGTCCCAAATGACGTCAAGTGAGTGAGGCCGCGCCACCGCCAATGGGCGGCCGCAGAGTGTTAGGACCTGGCCATATAAGGTAAACAAAGCTGGCCGCCCAATGAGGCTGCAGCGGGGGCGGGCGCTGGGTCGGAGCCGGCGGGGGCGCGTCACGTGGCGGGCGGGGGCGGGACTGGGGAGCACGGGAGCGAGGGAGTTGCGGGTTGTGTTTACAGCTCCGCACGCGCCGCTTCCGGGTGACGACGCGGGTCGGGCGTGCGGGGCCAGGGCGGGCTCGGAACGGGATCCTGGGGGCGGGGAGGGGGGAGGCGGGGAGAGGTCTGCCTCGGTCACCCCTGCTCTGAGGGACCTTGGCCCGGTTCCTCGCGCTGCCTGGGCTCCAGTTTCATCCGTTGGGCAACCGTTCTTTGAGCCCTTTCTCTTGCCCTGCCTTGACCCGGCATTACTGCGGAGAGCACACCCCAGAAGAGTTGGCTGGGGAGGGGGGGCGGGGGTGTTGGGACCGTGTGTCAAAAATCCTAAGGATGGGGACGCCTGCGTGGCTCAGTCGTTAAGCTCTGCCTTCGGCTCAGGTCATGATCCCAGGATCCTGGGATCGAGCCCCGCACTGGGCTCTCTGCTCAGCGGGGAGCCTGATTCTCCCTCTCCGACACCCCCTGCTTGTGTTCCCTCTCTCCCTGTGTCTCTCTCTGTCAAATAAATATCTTAAAAAAAAAAAAATCTCAGGGACGGATGTAGGCTTGTGGAAATGTAGAAAAGTGCCCTCTGGGAAGTGACACAGGCCCTGGGGGCTTGGGGTGAAAGGTCATTGGGAGGTTTTCCTATATTTGATCCGTTGTTGGCTTTAGGCTTAGTGTGGGGTCCAGAGGTGGTGGAGGGGTCCAGTGGGAATCAGGAGATGTTTTGGATGTGTCTGATTCTAGTGGCGTGCCCTCCCACCAACCCAGCGCCTCAGTAGAGGAAATGCACTGGATGGAGGGAACTATGCCACACTGGAGGGATGGAGAGAAGCCCTACCTGGGTCCTAACCCTTCCAGAGGTTCTGGCTTTGGCGAGTGGGAGGATAATGGGAGACTGGTGGACAGGGCCTGAAGGGTCCCAGGATTGTGGGGGTTGGGGGTGGGCAGGGGCACCCGGATGCTTGGGGAGGGAAGGGAACCCTGCACGGTAAGACCCCCTAAGGGGCTTTTGAGGGCTAGAGTGCCCTGGGCTTAGTCTATCTGCAGGTAGCAGACTCAGTGTCCTCTTCCAGGTGGGCGCCTCGGCTTTGGCAGAAGTAACCTGTCCACATGGGAAGTCAGGTTTGGGTGTCTTCTGCTACACGGGATCACTCAGGCTCCACCATTTTTTGCAAACCCTGATAGTGCCAGGAGATTTCTGGTCTTGTTAAGAATGGCTCCTCTTCTTAACAAAGCACGGTAAGCATGAATTGATGTGGGTAAAGCGCCCAGCACGAGGTAGGTGGCTCTGAAAGTGGTTATTGCTGTCCCTCTTACACCAGGATAGCATCAAGGCATGCTGGAAGGTAAGCGGGTTTTGGTGCCAGACAGACCTGGGTATGAGTCAACTCTGCTGCTTACTAACTGATGTTGGATAAGCTACTGCAGCCTTGAGCTTTGTTTCATTTGTAGAACCCGAGGTAGCAGTGTGGGGCAATCCCAGGCCTGCTGAGGGGATTAATACCCGTGCAGTGGTCAGCAAGCGCCCAGCACTCAGTGTACAATTTCTAGTACTCACCTCTTTGCCTGCGTCTGGACCACTCTAGGGAGCCCAAGCCCCATTTTACTGATGAAGAAACAGGCTGGAATCCAAACCACCTTATGCTCTTGCCAGTGTTCAGAGCCAGTGGAGAACAGGCACCCAGTAGGCCATGAGGGTGTATTTCTGGTGAGTGAGAGAGGGCACTGCCCTGGCAGGGCCCACTAGGGGATTTTCTGGCTCAGGGAAGTACCTTCCCCCTTCTCCCTATCCTTACCCAGCAACACTCAGTTACCTGCCCAGGCTTGTCCAGCTCAGAAGGAGTACTTACAAACCAGCAGGCTGGCTGGGGTGAGGCAGATGAGGCTGGCAGGAGCAAAGGTTACTCCTCTGGCCCCCATGGCACCCCTAGCCTGCTAGTTTTCCCAGGGGCAGCAGGGAAGGAAAAAACAATCTTGTTTTTAGCTAGAATCAGCCTGGCAGGAGAGTGGACTTTGGATTTCTTAGCTAGCTCAGATGGGGCCTGACAGCTGGGACCAGCAGATAGGACAGGGAGACAAAAAGGTATTTCTAGCAGTGCCCACATCTTACCTGAAGTTCTGGGAAGTTGTGTGCCCTGCCAAAGTCTCCCCAGCATGCCCTGGCCTCCTCCTTCCCACCTCCATCCATTTTTCCTTTTCCTTTTTTTCCCCAAGATTTTATGTTATCTCCACACCCAATGTGTGGATGTTATCTCCACACCCACAATTCTGTGATCAAGAGTCTCATGCTCCACTGGCTGAGGCAGCCAGGCACCCTTCCACCTCCATTCTTTCAAATACTCCATAGATCATTGAGTGCCTGATTCTGGGAGCACAAGAATGAATAGGCAAGGAGGCTCAGGAAGAAGTCTGGACTCAAGGACTCATCACGCATTAACTGTGTCTAGTGTCTGTTTCAAAAGACCCAGTGCTGGCTGACTGAGAGGATTTGAGATCTGGCCACTGCCTCACTCTTGACCTCTGTTCCTATACCCTCCCCCCCATTTGAATTTAACCACACTGACCTTTGAGCCCCTGGATCATGCTCAGCTCCTTGAAGTCTCAGGGCCTTTGCACATAGTGTTTCCCCGGCTTGGAACCTGGACTGGCTTACCTCCTTAGAGTTTGCTCCCCTGCTGGTTTGCTCTTATTTGTATTTCAAATCCTGGCTTAAATGTTACCTCTCCAGAGAAGCCTTCCCTGACACTCCTATCAATAAGTCTCCCCTATTATTTCATTGCACCTCTATTCTCCTATAGCACTCACCACATTTTGTATTTATGCACCTGTTAACCTTTTAAGTGTGTCTCCTCACTAACCTGCATGCTCCACATCTAGGGTTCTTCCATTTGATCCCAGTTGCCTGGCTCCTAGCCTGGCTCATTGCGTGTTACATAGTAGCTGCATGGTAAATATTTGTTGAATAAATAAATGAATCAGCACAGATGTTGACAGTAGAACTAGTAACAAATCAGAAAGGGCCTGCCTCCCAGCAGGGCATGGATAAGCACAGAAAGAACAAGTCCAAAGCTCTATTAAGAGGAATGTTTAATCAAACACCCAGCCCATGGAAACGACTGCCCTGGCCCAGGATCTATAGAAAGGACACGCTCCTAGGGTTGTTTTTCAATGAGAACATCAGGGTCTGTCCTACTCTCCTTGCCTCCCCCCCAAGCAGGGAGGCCAGTAAATTGAATTCAGTGTTGGTATATGTATGTGTGTATACACACAAATGTTATGTGACTTAATAAAGATAAGGGAAGAAAGATCACACGGTGGGGGGGGGGGTGTCTTCAGGCCCATCTGGTGGCAAGGGACATGAAACTTAGCACATCGGGTTGTTTCTGCCTCTGGGGTGGCAGGGGAGTATGGCAGTAACTTCATTACTGTTTATCTACTGCAGCCTAAGTGGGGTACTTCACTTCTTCTAGCTTCACTTTCCTTTTTTCATGAATTGGGGATGAAAATAAAAGCTACATCAGAAAATTAAATGAGAGGGGGCGCCTGGGTGGCTCAGTCCTTAAGCATCTGCCTTCGGCTCAGGTCATGGTCCCAGGGTCCAGGGATCGAGCCCCACATCGGGCTCCCTGCTCCGCGGGAAGCCTGCTTCTCCCTCTCCCACTCCCCCTGCTTGTGTTCCCTCTCTCGCTGTGTCTCTCTCTGTCAAATAAATAAAATCTTAAAAAAAAAAAAAAGAGACTATGTCTTAACACGATGTCTGGCACATAGTAGGTGCTCAGTAAATGGGGATCTTGATTGTAAAGCTGAGATTTAATCAGGCCCCTCCAAGACCTAGACTCTACTCATAAGCACATAAATCTTTCACCTCTTATTAATTTTGGCTTCCCAGGTTCCCTGACAATAGAAGGTTGTGTTCTGGACTCTGGCCTCCTGAGGGGCAGGACTCGTTTTAATGTGGAATGTGGTGCATTTACCATTTGAGACCGTTTGCCAGCTGCGCCCTCCCCAGCTGCTTTCCTGGTAGAGCAGGCTTGCCTTGGGAAGCCACTTTCTTCTTGGAACCCCAGTTTCTCAACTGAAGAGTAGGTGAAAACAATTTCCACTTGGCCTACTTACAGAATTTTATGTGAATCAAAAGCCAGGAAAGTACATTGCAACCTGCAAGCCTTTAATCCTGACCAATTTTTTAAACGTGCCTTCAGCACCTCATATGCAGCCATCCCTTGTGCCTCAGTTTCTCTATATGTAAAATGGGGAGAGGTCTGTGGGGCTGTAAAATTATGTCTTCAAAGTAATTGTTCTGGACGTGGAGCCAAAGAGAAGCCTTGAGTTCTGGAAAAGGCTAAAAGAAGCGCTTAGCTTCTCCTGTGAACCCCAACTCCTGGTCGGCTTGGGTTCCATCCCAGCTATTGCCGGGTGGCAGATAAAGGTGTGCCCTCTTCTGGACGGGGCAGGAGATCGACCCTGGGAAGTGGGGAGAACCATCGTGGCTCAGGGAGATATTTTAGAGAGGGGGTAAATGGAAGGGGCTGGGTTCCTATAAGAATCTATATATGAACAGATTATCAGGAGACTAAAGAGTTAGGATGTTAGTGACGTGTTTGCAATGCAGAGGAAAAGTCAGTTTGTGGTGTGGGTGATGGTTCCTCCCCTCTGGATTCAGGTCCATTTGGTTTGTCCCGGAGTCCTGGTCAGCGTTTTCACTGGGCCGCGGCGAAGGGCATCTTGGGAAGTGTAGTTCTTTGGTGGGCTTCCTGCGTCGCAGCCCGTCGCCGTCGGCGGCGAGGGG